ATAAAATGCTTTTTCAGAGAATCACCTCCTTCCGGCTATAATCTAAATGAAAGGTAGGCCAGCGTTGTCAGTTGGCGACGGCAACCCTTACCATTAAACTCAAGGGCGTTGTTTGCAACCCATTTTTAAACAATCTGCCAGCCAAAGCAATGAATTCACGGAAAATCTCTGTTGTGCAAGCACGTCCACTTTTAAAATTTACAATTAAGGCTCTACCACACCTCAAGAAAATTTCTATTTTAAAAGATATGTAACTTGTAAAACACCCGTGCTACCTCGTTATGACAGCTGCCACTCATCTCTAAGGGTTAAAATCGTTCAGTTTGTTTACAATACTTAACTAGTTTTATTACTGCTATTGTCAGCGGGGGAAGTGTATCCCAGCTTGCAGGTAGAGCAGAGTAAGGAACTAAAATATTTATCTACTATGAAAGAAAACAAACAATATTTCTTAGTTTACGTTCGAGAAGTAAAAACGCAAAAACACGTCTACTGGTATTTAAAAATTGCCATTTTGTAATATTAGTTTCAAAAGTTTTGAGCGATATTTGACAGGTGTATGACGTCATCGATAATTTTTTAAATAGCACCTCCTACCTTTTTTTAGCATAAAGTCCCTTGAAAGAGAATTTTTGATATGCGGTTTAACCTAATTTACTGTCATAAGACGAGAAAAAAGCCAAATGTGTGTTTTAAAATAAATTAATAAAATCATTGTCAGAGACTGTTGAGATCTTTACTCGCAATACACACAACAAAAAAATGCTTGTTCATAAATATAATTCCGACCATAATTCTTCCTCTTATTTTTAAATTCCTGTTTCCATAAAAATTCGTACGTGTTGGGCATATTCGGTAAGTAGGTAGAAAAGTAAAATTAAATTTCCAAGAATATTTTATTGTAGGTACGAAGGTTCGTTATTGTGAGTATTTCTTAGTAATCTTGGAATTTTTCAACCCGAAATCTTATTAGAAATTTAGGTAGGTACATACCTAGTTACCTCTCGGAATGCATTTTGAATGAAGCAAATTGGTGGAAGGTTATTTCAACAGAACTTCTCTCGCCTCTGAAATACAATAAAACAAACCCAGCTTTTTCGAAAAATTATAAAATTTGATTATGCGAATTATATTTTTTTAATGAGAACCCGGATATGTTAAAATTTTGTCCAAAAATTCTAGATGTCTAGGGTGAAAATTCTACACGGATTTACACACCACAAGTGCAGGAGTATCTAATTTTTTCAAATATAAAAAACTTTGTATTATAAATTTTGGAGATGACGTCATCCCATTGGTGGTGGAGATGATTTGCCAAATTTTAGTTAGCGTTTAACCATCTACATGATATTTCTAATATACATACAAAATATGGCAATAATCGATCCAGTAGTTTCGGAGAACACTTGTCTAATAAAAAATGGATACAGACACCAGACAGACAGACAGACAGACGGACATACGAAAACGGGAGACCATTTTTTTCGTACTCTAGAAGTCATGACACGTCGAGAAATTAGTACTGGACGTAGAATTGTTGACATAGGCCACTTATTAACAACACTGGAATCAATCAGTACTTTAGATAATATTGAAATAACTCATGAAAATTGTTATCGTTTAAAAATTCTTTTCTACTACAAATTTCATATATACGGAATATTCGGTAATCTTTGTACTGAACCTGAAAATCATATATACAAAGTCAATTATGCAGCTATTTGTGGAGCTAGATCAACGGTCGTAGGTTATTCTCAAATTTCAGAATTTTGTTCAGCTCTAGATATCCCTCAAAAACCCCAGGCGACATATCGTAAAGCCGAGGCTAGAGTTCTAAAAAGCATCCAAGCACTTTTCGAAGAACAAACCAAAACGCAGGTAAAGAAGAGTACCGATTAGCTGTGAAGGCGAGGGAGGTAGATAATGATTGCGTCCCATATACTACCGTTACAATGCACTGTCTGGGGTAGGACGTATAATTGGTGCCAGAACTAAAAAAATTGGTCTAAAGAGTTTAGACAGTACTTCCCTCGCTGTCGGAAACTTGACGACTGCATGCCTATTGTGTTTTTTTTCTCATTACATTTTTGTAGTGGGAATTTAAAAAAAAATTGCGATGACGTCATCAACATTTTTGCAAGGACACGTATATCAGTTGGGATAGATGTAGTGTAATACTAAGAATAAAATTATTATATTCTCAAATTTTCGGGAAAATGAATTGGGTCGTTTGAATATTGATTTGTAATAATCAATAAAATAACGAAACAATTTACTCACGTATACCTACGTATCAGAGGCAACTAAAAATCGTGTATGTATAAACATTGTTAATTTAAGATGACAGGCGTAACAGCATACGTGAGAGCCAAACACAGAAACTGTAAACAAAACGACCGTCGGTTTTATTGCTTCGACTTCCGCTTATTATATAAAACATTGGGTTTTATTTTAATTCTTGACGGTGAAACTCACAATTGGTTGATTATAAACATGTCTATTTCGCATTCGCGGAACCAAGTGACCGCATAAAACAAATGCAGATCTGTAACGTTAAAGTCGATGTAAATAAGCGTGCTACCCTTATGTTTCAACCGAGTTTTTCCTTTAACAAATTTTGTGTCTACCAAATTGGGTTGGTTGGGATGTAATACTAATAATAAGTGTTGCCTTTAATTTAATCAATAAAATAAATTGACTTCATTAATTTTTTTGAACCACCTCTTAAGAAAATCTAAAAAATATGAATGGAATGATAAATCACAAGTACAAACTCATCATATTTTTTGCATTTTAGATAGGATTTATTCAGCAAAATTTAAGGGTGACGTCATCAATTTTTTTAGGAGGGATGAACAAATACATTTTGAACAAAAGTTTACCATGCTTATAATCACTTTAAAATATTCCCAAGATTTCAAAGCATTCGGTTTTGTAATTCCTGATTAAATCGATAAAATAAATTCACGCCTTCATTAATTTTTTTCAGTCACCCTGCATATGCAAATCCAAAAATATGAATGGAATGATAAATCACAAGTACAGACTCATCATATTTTGTACATTTTAGATGCGATTTATTCGGAAAACTTTTGAGCTGACGTCATCAGTTTTTTGTAGAAGATAACCAAATATATTTTGACTAAAAATTTATTATGCTCTTTATAACCTTAAAACATCTGCAAGATTTCAAAGCATTCGGTTTTGTAGTTCCTGATTAAATCAATAAAATAAATTTACGCATTCATTAATTTTTTTGAGTCACTCTGTATATGCAAATCCAAAAAATATGAATGGAGTGATAAATGACAAGTACAGGCTCATCATATTTTGTACATTTTAGATATGATTTATTCGGCAAACTTTCGAGCTGACGTCATCAAGTTTTTGGAGGGGATAAGCAAATATATTTTGACTAAACATTTATTATGCTCTTTATGACCTTAAAACATCTGCAAGATTTCAGAGCATTCGGTTTTGTAGTTCCTGATTAAATCAATAAAATATATTTACGCATTCATTAATTTTTTTAAGTCACCCTGTATATGCAAATCCAAAAAATATGAATGGAGTGATAGATCACAAGTACAGACTCATCATATTTTGTACATTTTAGATATGATTTATTCCACAAACTTTTGAGATGACGTCATCAAGTTTTTGGAGGGGATAAGCAAATATTTTTTGACTAAAGATTTATGATGCTCTTTATAGCCTTAAAACATCTGCAACATTTCAAAGCATTCTGGTTAGCAGATTAAAAATTAAATTTCAAATCCATTTACTATGTACAATTTTGAAGTGACGTCATCGCATTAGTGGTGGGGATGATTAGACAAATTTTGGTTAGCGTTTTACCATCTACATGATATTCTTAATATCAGTACAAAATTTCACAACAATCGGTCGAGTACTTTCGGAGATTATCTGTCTAATAAAATTCCGGGACGGCAGACGGACAGACGGACGGACAGACGGACGGACAGACGGACAGACGGACAGACAGACGGAAATGGGAGACCTATTTCTTCGATTTCTAGGGGTCATGAAAGATCGAGAAAACATAAAAGTAGAGAGTCGGCCGACGGACTAGATTACAATACTTCCTTTGCTTACGCTCGGGAAGTAAAAAGGCAAAAAACCTAAGATCCGAAGCCTAGTTGTTACATAACGATACTAATCGTCCATATCTATATCATCTAGGCTCTTTTTTAGTTTATAGGGACTATACAAGCTGTCTAAGATTTCTGTTTATAGAATCACTGTATTTCTAAACCAGTGAACATCTAACAACATTTTAACTTCGTTGGTCCTTGACACTGAATTCAAATTCTCTTCCACAGTTAAAAACAAATGCAGAAGAAGAAGAAGAAGGGAAAGTAATCATATTGTTTTCATCTATTTTCAAATTCTAATTTAGATCTGCATTATTCATACATACATTTACTATCCTTTACCCTTGACTTATGTCCTTGTTAAAATTACAACGGCCATTTAAATTTACATTACATTTAAATAGTTAGTTTCACGTCTAGTGACCAAAAAAAAGCATTTGATAAAAATTATATGTGCGACCTTTGTGATATCGGTCGAACAACATAATTTGTAATCGAGTCATACTTGGAATACTTAAAGCTACATCATAGAAAAAATGTCACACGAAGCACTCCGTTCTTACTTGTTGTTACTCCTCGCAGAAATATCTTCAACTATGCCCATTTCTGCCCATTATAACGATGTATGATAAAGTTCCAAGAAATTTCGTCTCTACATGTCAGACGGAAAAATAACAGAAAATAATGAAAATGTTAAGCAGATAATGGAGCAAACCTCTACAAATCTACTTTAGTTAGTGTAGATCTATTGTCTGATTGTTATTTTAATATTTCTACCAATAAAAATAAAAAAAAAACATGTCTGTAGAATTGTTTTAAATACTAATTTTGAGCTATCTAACACGTACTTATTATCCTCGAATCCTTGAATTTGTATAGTCGTGTTAACATTGCGTCGACTGACAGTTAAACGATAAGTTTCGTTTACAGTCATCAAAATTATATGGTATTCTTTTCTAGGCAGTTTAATAAAGTGCAACGCTTTTAAAATAGTAGATATGAAACAGACTTCGACTTTAATTTATTATAAGTATATTAAATTGTAGGGCATTCCTGTCAGTGTTTATTAACAACTGGAAGTAATCAGACACACATTAAACTAAAACTATGTTATTAATTTTGGTATTTCAAATCGTGTTGTGTTCCATTTCAGCCACCGGATTTACTATCCATCAAGAAAATAATGCTTGTTCAAGTTTAAAGTACTACCCTGTCAAGGCCTTCAGCTCCCACTGTTACGTAAACCCCAACGTCCTTGCTTCTACCGTACTATCAATAACCATTAAAATTTTAAAATGTTACAACAAAGCGTTTCAGCCTGAAATGATTAAGCTCAATGGTTACAAATATGGAACCTATAAAGTGGTTTCAGAAGACGGTTATACTTCCTTGATTTTTCGTGTACTACCACACGACGGTGGTAGGAACAGACAACCTGTCATCTTGGAACATGGGGTACAGGTTAACTCAGCAGTTTGGACTTGGATGGGGAATAGGTCTCTAGGTAAAGTAGCGTCAAATATATCCAAAATAAGAAAACACAGGGTTTACAGCTTTCGTTTTGACCGACGCTGGTTATGACGTTTGGTTAATGAACCAAAGAGACAGTGGTTATACCACCCATAATAAGTACAAAACGTCAGATTACAAATTTTGGGCCAACAGGTAAGCAATAAGCCCTAAGCCCACTTTTTAAGTAAGTAAGTCGGTTTAGTTTGGACGATGTTGCCACTAAAGGAGTACCAGCAATGTTAAATACTGTTGCTACAGCAACTAACAAATCTGGTTCTATTATTTACATTGGTCATTCGAGAGGATCTACTTTAGCTTTTATGTATGCGTCCGAAAATCCAAAAGAAGCACAAAAATTTCTTCGAGGAGTTGTCGCCTTGTCGCCTATTGCGTATCTTAATCCCAACTTGGTAGTCAGAGTACTTTGCAACTTAGCACCTATTATTGGCGTAAGATAGAATTCAAACTAGTTTCCTGTAGCAATTTTTGTTTTGTTTTAGAAAGTCCTAGAACTTTTAAGAATTTCAGTAATAAATTATCCAGTAGGGCTAACTATAGGGTTTTACCAAACCCTATGCACCAATTTGCCATACTTTTGCAAGTTAATTCTTCTCTTGACTTCAGGAAGCGTGAATCAATTTCAGCCGGTAATTTCACTAACTTTCTGGAATACAAAATTACTACTTTAGTTTCAGAATGATCTTTTAGCTTTTTTTTCCATTTTCCCAATTTCGCTTTCAGTAATGGAAACTTTACAGTACGCCCAGATATACCGTTCCGGGAAATTTCAAAAATATAACTACGGAAAAAAACAAAATTTGCTGAAATATCAGCAACAAGAACCTCCTTTGTACAATCTTGGTAACTTTAAGCTTCCTATTTACATGTACTATGGAAAGCGGGATATTTTAATCAAAGAAAAGGTGATATAAATTTTGTATATTTTTCGGTACATATGTTTTCTTCCAGAGTGTGAAAAGAATTTTTAAAGAACTTGGAAGCACCGAGAAGCGATATTCCAGTGCACCTGTTGGAATTAACAAGAAGAAGTTGCAGTTTGGTCATAATGACTTCATTTGGTCTAAAGATATACAAGAATTGTTTTATAAAGATCTGCTGCGAACTCTGAGTAAACTAAAGCCTAAATCTTCGCTGGAATAATAAATTATGATTAGTGTTCGACTAGCGTTTTTGCTTGTAATACTAGACTTAATAAAATTAGTAAATCGATAAATACAGTTTTTATATAGAAAAAACAGTGTATATAACTCTGATTTAATGACCATCACAACACTAATATTCTATCTTTAAATCACGAGGCGAAACCTTCAAGATTATGGATTTTTTAACTCCCTAGGGAGTAAAAACAGTCATTATATTGCACTAAGCGGGGATTAAAATAGGAGAAGATGGGTTGCCTAGACTAGTATACAGATAAAACTGAAAAATAAAAGAAATAAATAATGATAAGAAAGACCATGGACGCAACCATGAACAATAAATGCATTGATAAAGCGCAAGGCTATGCCCATTCGAAAATGTGTCGACCAATGGAGTGCATTGAAGTAACGTTATCGATAATAACTTCAACAGTAAGAATATAGTTAATAGCAGTAACAGCGTCAAAGATAAATATAGGTAATGTTCTACAGGGATCATATTAAAAAATGGATTTTAAAGCGCGTACTTAGCTTGTAATATGTACTTTTATTATCATAATGTTTATTTATGTGTCAGTTTTACTAAAAGCCTCCTACGATAAATGCATAATAACATATACTTAGTCATAAATTAACCGTTCTATTTCAATACTGTTTCGTTACTTTTCGACCATTAGTTAGATTCTGTTTGTCAAAAATACACATATATTAATATCTGAATGTGGACAAACCCACTTAGGTATATGTAACTGAAAATATGTTTCCAATTTTTATTATTCTAACAGTACTCTATTCCACTCCAACTACGAGCTTTACTTATCATAAAGAGAATAATGCTTGTCCACGTCTGCTATACTACCCTGTGAAAGCTTTCACTTCTCGCTGTTACTACAATCCCAACGTACTGTCTTCTACTGTAAGAAAACAACTAACTGAAAATTCCAAGATGTGATAACATTGCCTTTCAGCCTGAAATGATTCAACAGAACGGTTACAAATGTGGAACCTACAAAGTTGTTACAGATGATGGTTACACATCCCTGATGTTTCGCGTGCTACCACAGGTGGACGATGGTGGAGAAAAAGGACAACCCATCGTCTTGGAACATGGAGTACAAGTCAACTCAGCCGTTTGGACTTGGATGGGAGATAGGTCTCTAGGTATAAAGTTTACGTCGCGCTATGATTTTTCACCTCAAATAATTTAGACGACAACAAATTAACAGAAAACCAGTCCAAATTCTAACATAGGATCTTTTCTTCCACTGCTGCAATTTTTGGCATTGTGCCAAAATCTTCTGTTCCAACCAAACAATCTGACTGCCTGCTCGAATTAGGAAAATTGTCTGTAACCCCAAGAGACGTCAATTTTGTTTGGTGACAATATTGATAGTAAATCAGCTGGATTTATTGTACCAGGTACAAAGTACCAGTCGGTAGCGTTTGTCAGCTTGTGAAATTCTTCTATCCGATTCTAAACAAATGGTTTCCAGTTTTCAGTCAACTTAATCAAAGAGAGAAAAAGTGTGGAAACTCAGCTGATCACTCTGTGTGCAAAACCATCTAGGGATACTCAGTAATGAAAGACAATTCAAATCGTTCAACCATCGTCAAAAGGATTCTTTTAAGTCTTCGGGAACTTGTGTAGTCCAGTTCAACTGTATCATACAAGTTCCCTGAAGTAACATTTTCGGCAGTAAATTAATATTTATTAACGAAAAACTTCATTTTACAAACTTACAATGACACCAAAAATTCACAGAAAATTATACATTAATTAAATAAAAATAAAAATAACTTAAATTCTGCAGTTGTTTCGAATCTTGAACAGAACGTATCATTGCAAATAATTTCAAATCATCCGCATACAACAAATAATTGCAATATTGAAAACACCATGTCAAATCATTAATAAATAGTGTAAAAATAATTGGCCCACAATGTGAACCTTGAGGAACACCAGGCGGAGCCCAAACGAATCTGAAAAAAAATTATGAATACGAACCTGTAGCCATCTATCATAAAGAAATGAAGATAACCACTTCACTGTCAAATCTTTAAAACCCAGTTGTTGAAGTTTTATAATCAGTAACCGATGATTGACACGATCAAATGCCTTCGCAAAGTCCGTATAAATAGTATCTACCTAAATAGGGTTAGACAATGCATCGTTTAGAAATGACTGATATTCTACCAAATTAGACATTGCGGATCTCTTAGGATAAAAACCATGCTGTTGACAAGAAATGATCTGCGACGATGCCCATTGAAGTTGACTTGATACGAGAGTTAAAAATAGGAAAGCTGTAACTATTCTTCCATAATTTAGGAAAAATACCTTTGTCCAATGATGTTTTAAATAATATCAATAAAGGTGAACAAATAGAGTAGATACAGTTTTTTAAAACTACGCTTGTCGTCATGTAATCCTTGGTCCCCATCGGGACCAGGATTACATGACGACTTTAAGTTGCATGTAAGATTAAAAATATCTGAAACAGTAACATTTAAACCGACATCATTAACTTGATGTGACGAATCTATATTACAAACAAAATTCCTTTGATCATCATCAAGCATAAAAGTCATTTAAAAGCGTATACTCGAAAAATAATTTTATATTTTTAACACCTATATCATAAATATCTTAAAGAAACCACAAACTTCTACATCAAAACAATCTCTTTGTCTTACAGCTTTTGTTTTGGCCAGAGCTGGTTATGACGTGTGGTTGGTGAACCAAAGAGATAGTGGTTACACAACACACAACAAATACAAAACTTCAGATTCCCGTTTTTGGGCTAGCAGGTAAGCACTAAGCACTATTCTTAAACCAGTTTTCTAAATAAGGTATTCTAGTTTAGACGATATGGCATCCAAAGGAGTTCCAGCTATTTTAAATACAGTTGCTACAGCAACCAACAAATCTGGTTCTGTTATTTATATTGGTCATTCCAGAGGGTCTATTCTGGGTTTTATGTACGCGTCTGAATATCCAGACGAAGCCCAAAAATTTCTTCGTGGTGTTGTAGCACTAGCTCCTGTTGCGTATTTTGACTTTAGTCTACACTTTAGAATTGTTGCCTACCTGGCACCTATCATCTTACCGAGAATTTCAGTGCTAAATTATCCAGTCAAATACTCAATCAAATTTTATCAAATTCTTTGCACCAATCTTCCACATGTTTGTGAACTGATTCTTCTCGCGGTTTCTGGTAGCGTGTCTCAATTTCTACCGGTAATTCACAAACTAAGTCTAACACAGAAATTACAATTTTGATTTCAGGATGACCTTTTGGCTTTTTTTTCCATTTTTCCAGTTTCCCTTTCATCAATGCAAGTTTCACACATCGTTCAGTTATTCCGTTCAGGAAGATTTCAAAAATATGATTACGGAAGGAAAGAAAATCTGCTGAAATATGGACAAGAAGTACCTCCTTTGTACAATCTTAGTAATTTCAAGCTTCCTGCGTATCTATTTTATGGAAAAAAGGATGTTTTCATGAAGGAAAAGGTAATCTAGATTTGGTAATTTCGTCCGTACACAATTTTTCTCGTAGAGCGTGAAAAGGACGTTTGAGGAGATAGGAAGCAGCGAAAAAGGATATTTTAGTGTGCCGATTGGAAATGATGATACGAAATTGCAGTTTGGTCATAATGATTTCATTTTGTCGAGGTATATAGAAGAGTTGTTTTACAAGGATCTGCTCAAAGTACTGAAAAAATTGAAACCTAAAGAATAATGCTTGATCTTTCGATTTTGTCTTAGTTTTCACACTTTATTGTCTCAAGAAATTGGTCTTCAATGTATGTATCTAACAATAAATTGCTTAGACAAACGCAACGATATTATAAAAATTATATGTTGCTAGTTTTATTTTAATCTATTTGCTACTTTTAAAGTGGTAGATATGAACAAAGTTTCGACCTTAGTATACTTATACATATATGAAATTGTTTGTTGGCATTCGTGTCAGTGTCTATTGACAATTGGAAGTAACAAAGCCACATATACCTGAAATTATGTTGTTAATTTTTATATTTCAAATCGTATTGTGTTCCATTTCAGCCACCAGTTTTACTATTCATCAAGAAAATAATGCTTGTCCAAGTTTAAAGTACTACCCTGTCAAGGCCTTCAGTTCCCACTGTTACGTAAACCCTAACGTCCTTGCTTCAACTGTGTTATCAATACCATTAAAAGTTTTAAAATGTGATAACAATGACGTTTCAGCCTGAATCGATCAAACTCAATGGTTACAAATATGCGACTTACAAAGTGGTTTCAGAAGATGGTTACACGTCTTTGATGTTTCGAGTACTACCACAAGATAACCATGGTAGGAAAGGGCCACCCGTCGTTTTGGAACATGGGATACAGACTAACTCAGCAATTTGGACTTACAGGGGAAATAAATCTCTAGGTAAAGTACCGTCAAATGATTTTAGAGCTTAAAGCGTCCATTTAGTCTTAACTTAGTCAACCTTGTGTCACCGACACGTGTAGCCTTGAAATTAAAAGCAACGTGTCTATGGAGGTGCTTAATTTGAAGTAAAATTAAAAATTATAGAGTGTTAGAATTAATTGTTACAGCTTTTGTTTTAACCGAGGCCGGTTATGACGTGTGGTTAGTAAACCAAAGGGACAGCGGCTATACAACCCATAATAAGTACAAACCTTCAGATTACAACTTCTGGGCCACCAGGTAAGCAATAATGCATTAACCCACTTTGAACTAAATCGTTTTAGTATGGACGACGTTGCGTCTAAAGGAGTACCCGCAATTTTAAACACAATCGCTACTGCAACTAACAAATCCAGTTCTATCATCTACATTGGACATTCCAGAGGATCCACTCTGGTTTTCATGTACGCATCCGAAAATCCAGAAGAAGCCCAAAAATTGCTTCGAGGTGTTGTCGCTCTGTCTCCTATTGTGTATCTTAATCCCAATTTGGTAGTCCGAGTTCTTTGCTACTTAGCACCTATAATTGGCGTAAGATAGGGTTCAAACTAGTTTCCTGTTGCAATTTTTGTTTTGTTTTAGAAAGTCTTAGAACTTTTGAGAATTCCGGTACTAAATTATCCAGTTGGACTAACCATAGGGTTTTATCAAATTCTATGCACCAATTTGCCATACTTTTGTAAGTTAATTCTTCTATTGACTTCAGGTAGCGCAAATCAGTTTCCACCGGTAACTTTACCACGTTTCTGTTGTACAAAAACTACTATTTTAATTTCAGGGGGATCTCTTAGCAGTTTTTTCCAATTTTCCGATTACGATTTCAGTAATGCATATTTTACAATACGCCCAAATATACCGTTCCGGAAAATTTCAAAAATATAATTATGGAAAAAAACAAAATATGCTGAAATATCAGCAAGAAGAACCTCCTTTGTACAATCTCGGTAACTTTAAGCTTCCTATTTATATGTATTATGGAGAGCGAGACATTTTAATCAAAAAAAAGGTAATACAACTGTTTGCGTATTTTTCCCAGCAACATAGTTCTTACAGAGCGTGGAAAGGGTTTTTAAAGAAGTTGGAAGCACCGAGAAGGAATATTTCAGTACACCTGTCGGAATCGACGACAAGAAGTTGCAGTTTGGTCATAATGATTTCGTTTGGTCTATTTATATAGAAGAGTTATTTTATAAAGATTTGCTGCGCACTCTGAGTAAGCTACAGCCTAAGTTTTCGCTGGAATGACAAGCTATGACTAATCAACGATTAACGCTTTTTTATTTGTAATAATAGACTTAATAGAATCAATGAATCGTTAATAGTGTATTTTATTTAACTAAAGTAAAAAACGATTTCACAAAAAAATCGACAAAAAAATTGAAAGCAACTGCTCTTCCATAATCAAAAGCACCCGTTTCCTTGTCCCATAATTTCATTAAAATCAAATGAGTTTTTTTTTAATTTCCACTCTTCATCAATTTTAATAATGGTGTAAATACTTACCTCTACTTTCAATTCATGAACTTTTACATTCGTTAAAAACATGTTTCAATAATTATACACAGATAGATAAGTATATTCCGATCATTTGAGCTGTGGAGATAGTCACTATCAAATTACTGTCTAGTTTTTAAGTTTAATTACAGCGGATCTATAATTATTTCTTTCAGCAACGATGACTTTTAAAAGTATTTGAGTTAATTAGTTGTGATGACTAGAGAGCGGATTTATAAGCCCAAAAAAATTAAGAATAAGCGCTTAAATAAGCACAACATTTTCATTAAAAAAGTTTTATTTTAAACAAAAAAGTATTAAAAACAATCATATTACAAATCAAAGAACAGTTCTTAGAACTTTAGATAAAATATTATTACAATAATCCTAGACTTTATATTTTACACACGTATTTTAGTTTTCTTTAAAACAATTTATGATTGTAATATGTTCCAAGTTGTCCACTGTAAAATTTTTTCGCCGACATTTAAAATGTGTTTAAAATTGGAGAATGTGCGTTCAACATCCACACTCGTTGTTGGCGCAAATTTGAATTTTGCAATTAATGTTGAATCTAACTCCAAATTTTCCACCTCCTGGCCTTGTAAAACACGAGCAACGTCGGAAAGAACACCGAAACCTGCATTTTTATTTAACACTTCGGCAAGTTTTTGAGGTACTTTAGTACCAATATCACCCCTTACTACGTTTGCTTGTTTAAATTCTTTCACTAAGTTTATGGCATCTACCAACAACATATTGGGTTTTTCTAACTTTTCTATTACCTCACATACGAATTGATAATTGCTTCTTAGAAAAGCTAGATCTTGTCGCAAATCTTTGTTTTCCAAAATATTTATGCAATCTTTAATCGATTGAGAAGAATCTTCGCTAAACTCCGTAACTGCTTTCTCAAATTCTTTGATATATTTGTCATAATAAAATGTGGCCTGTAACCATGTTCCCCACCTCGTTATAATCGGCTCTGGCGGCAATGGTATGTTTGGAAATCTTTCCTTAAAATGTTGCACTCTTAGTGGGGCTTTAACAAAAATCTTTTTACCATTTGCCACTAATTTATTAACAGTAGGAAACTGCAAACGTATTCCTTCAGCCACTCTGTTTAAACCGTGGGCAATGCAAGTAGAGTGAATTAAACTGGGGTACAATATTTTTAGATTATTCACTGCTTTCAACATATAACGAGCTGCATCCAAGATCATCAATAAATTTTATTTGGCAAAAATAGTGACGTAAGATGGTCATTTACAAATCTGGTAATCGTATTGCCATTTGTTTTATCTAACATTTTCAAACTTACTACATACCCTCGACTAGGGAAATTTTCATTTAAGATTCCAACAATTAAACTTGCCACGTATCTTCCACAACTATCGGTTGTTTCATCGACAGCGAACCATAAATAATTATCTCCAATGCGATGTTTAATTTCGTTGTAAACTTGCTGAAACACTGGGCCTACATAATTTTTTTGAAGAGTACTTTCAACCGGAATATTTCGATTGCAGTATTTTTCAAGGAATTCTTGAAGAGGGCCTTTCTCCAATTTTTTTAAAGGTGTATTGGACTGGATCATCATTTTAAATAAATCGAAATTAAACTGAAACTGCTCATCTTTTGTGGAAGTAGATGCAACAGATTCATGTATGGTCTGCTGTTTAATTTTAGAAACATCAAACATTTTCTTCCTTTCTACATGAAGAGTCGTTCTGACATGTTGCGTCACGTTATCACTTTGAATCTAAAACAACGTATTTATACAGGATTAACAAAGGAAAATAGATAAAAAAAAATTAGTGTGCTTACGGTTTTCACACAAGCTCTGCAGAATATTTTGTTGTTTTCTAATTTTAATTCTGGAGAATCCCTTATCCACTCATCCGGCGTCGATTTTACTTTCGGCATTCTTTTAAAATATTAGTAATATTACCAAAAAGAACTCAACATGTAACAAGGGAGAACCACGTATAACACTGTACTACGACAGATGCGATAGACTGATGGTTGTGAAATAAACGGTTCATTTACTTAAAAGTTTCCATTAGAAAAATTTTAAGGTAAGTAGTTGGGTACAATAATCCTTTTTTGTAGAATCTTCAACGGTCTTGCCGCAAAATGCCGAAAAAGAACATCTGGTTAAAAGCTTTAATTCATTATCAACGGAAGTAAGGATTTTTAAGTCATAAAATCTATGGAGTATTTTTCCAATCCTATAATAAAATTTTATTACCCAAACGACCGGAACCTATTCACAGAAAGGGTCTTGACTAAGTGTACTTCAATGGTCAAGTCTAGGTAAAATGCATACGATACGATACGGCTAACTAACAAGTATTTGTCATCCCGACAAGGCCGGCATTTGAAGAAAATATGCATTAAAACTCATATTCGTCGAAAAAAGCATTAAATAAGCAAATAAGTTTTAATATGCATAAAATTGAAAAAAAAAACAAATAAGCATAAAAAAATGTGTCAAATGACTCCAAATTGTATCATAGTTACAGATATAAAAAAGTTTTGAAGTGCTTACATTTTTCACAAAAAGCATTAAACCTAGAAATCCGCTCTCTACTAATTACTACCATTTAAAATAATTCTTTACTCCAAAATGTTTAAACATCCGGTTAAAATTGTTTCAAATTGATTGTTTCTGAAAAAATACTTTTGACTTTTTACTTGAGATTTTTCAAACTTCACCTTTCGTTGTCAGTTTTTGGTTGCTATGTTTTTACAAAACGTGAATTAATTGCATTTTTAACACTTTTGAACTTAACTTTACAAAAACGTTTAACGTATCAAAACTCTTCATAAAAAAGCAGGAGACAACTATTTTAAAACTTACCTACGTACATAACTGTGCACTCATGATCAAAAGTAGAAAAAACTTACTCTGACTGAACACATTTGAACAATGTCACAAATACTAGCAGCCCCATTTTCTAGGTCCTTTCTAATTTATTTTGTAGGATATCTTGGGCAAAATTTATAATTTCATGTTGCTTATCTGCAGTCAGAAGATCATGTTATTAATGGTACGTTTGCACAATTTACAACTGACCATTATATCTACAAGTCTTTTTTTTACACTAAAAACTTAATTTTACAAACGCAAAACACTGCGAACTGAAAAGTATACCAACAAGACTAAGTATTTCAAACAGTAAATAGCATGAAACAAGTACTGAAAACGTAGAAACGATCACAATAACGAGTCGTGGTTATTCGCAGTGGGGAGAATAATTTTCAACCCGGGAAGTTTTGCTGCATTTTTTGTGCTAATTGGTGAAAATCTTACTTTTAATACAGTTTTAATACAGTTTTGTAGTAATGCGGACGGGTTTTTCCAAGACTTCGTTACTTAACGGCCTGTAATCTTCTTATTTAATTGCTGTTAAAGAGTCAGAAAAGGCGACTAATGTAACTATAAGTAGATTTGCCCAACAAAGTTTAACTAACATATTTTTATCCAATGCTATACCATTTAATACAATCGTATTAATGCTTTCTGATGCATCATATATGGTCAAAGTTGGAACCCAGTTAAAAGTATTTTATCCAAATTTGAGCTTTCTACTGTATCTTTGAAAGCACTTAGTTTGAATCATAAAACATTCATTATCATAATTTTTTTACGTGTGTCAGTTTTAACAGAAACTTATTCCCATAATTATATAAATTTCGTAGCAATGCTTAGGCATTAATCACTCAACCGGTAGTTATAGTCAGTGTAGTTGCGGTTGTTTTCTGCTATCAGAAATATGGGTGAACGTACGACTGAAAACATGTCTTTAATTTTTGTACTTCTAACACTACTTTATTTCACTCCAACTTCTTGCTTTACGTTTCATAAAGAAAATAATGCTTGTCCACGTCTGTTAGAATATCCTGTGAAAGCTTTCAGCCCCCACTGTTACGTAAATCCCAACGTACTATCTTCTACTGTAAGGAAATAACCAACTGATAATTACCAGGTGCGATAACATTACCTTTTAGCCTGAAATGATTAAACAGAACGGTTATAAATGCGGGACCTACAAAGTGGTTTCAGAAGATGGTTACACATCTTTGATTTTTCGGGTACTACCACAGGAAGATGATGGTAGAGAAAAAGGACAACCGATCGTCTTGGACCATGGGGTGCAAGTTAACTCAGCAGCTTGGACTTGGATGGGAAATAGGTCTCTAGGTATAAAGTTTACGTCACACTTTACTTCTAAATACATTGTACAAATCCCTTTGTCTTACAGCATTCGTTTTGGCCAGAGCTGGTTATGACGTATGGTTGGCTAACCAAAGAGATAGTGGATACACAACACACATTAAATATAAAACTTCAGATTACCGCTTTTGGACTACCACGTAAGCACTACGCAATAGTCCTAAACTTGTTGTCCAAATAAGTACTTCTAGTTTAGACGATGTTGCATCTTACGAAGTACCAGCAATTTTAAAAACAATTGCCTCAGAAACCAACAAATCTGGTTCTATTATTTATATTGGTCATTCCAGAGGGACTGTTCTGGGTTTTATGTACGCGTCTGAATATCCAGACGAAGCACAAAAGTATCTTCGGGGTGTTGTAGCACTGGCTCCTGCTGTGTATCTTGAGTTTAGTTTCTTCTTTAAGATTGCTTTCTATGTAGCCGCTATCATCTTACGAAAAATTCCGGTGATAAATTATCCAGACATATTCACAAAAAAATTTTATCAAATCCTTTGCACCAATCTTCCACATGTCTGTATGCTGATTATTTACGCGGCTTCAGGTAGCGCTAGTCAATTTCTACCGGTAATTTACAAACTAAGTGTAGCACAAAAACTACTGCTTTGATTTCAGGACGATCTTCTAGCATTTTATTCCATTTTTCCACTTTCCCTTTCAACAATGCATTTTGTACAACTCTTTCAGATATACCGCACTGGAAGATTTCAAAAATATGACTACGGAAAAAAGCAGAACATGCTGAAATATGGGCAAGCAGAACCTCCATTGTACCATCTTAGTAATGTCAAGCTTCCTGTATATCTGTTTTATGGAAAACGGGATGTCTACATGAAAAAAAAGGTAATCAAGGTTTGGTGATTTCGTCAGTACAATTTTTTTTTTCTAGACCGTGAAAAGGACTTTTGAGGAGATTGGAAGCAACGAAAAGGAATATTTTAGTGTGCCAATTGGAAATGACGATCCGAAATTGCAGTTTGGTCATAACGATTTCATTTCGTCGAGGTACATAGAAGAGTTGTTGTACAAGGACCTGCTCAAAGTACTGAATAAATTGAAACCTAAGGAGTAATGCTTGAAGTTTGGTTAATCTGCACGTGTGTTGTGGCTTAATTTTTGACAATGTTGTCAAATATAAATATAGTTATTTAGATCCGTTTATTTTTTAGACGACCTAGTCCAGTTCCAAGTGTTAAGAGTTCCACCAATGTACCTATGTCAAAAATTACACACATATTCCGATCTGGGTGGTAGTCTCGGTCATACCTAGTTATTAAGTATAATTATAAGTTCCTTCCATATGCAGTGTTAGATAGTGTTATCAGTATTTATTAATATTTGAACTGAGTCACGTATACATAAAGTGATGTTTCTATTATTTTTTTTTTGTATCCATAATATGATTCATTGTAACATTCCAGAGAATTTCGGATTATTATCTGTTCACGATCTTAGAGTTTTCGTTAGCTTATGTTTTATTAAATTAAAGGTTAAAAAATATGCCAGAAATATAAACATTGTTGCCGATACTTACAGTTTTCAGTAGCAATGACCAAATTAACGGTATCCGTTTCTTAGAAAGCATAAAACTTTACGCTATTAAAAACAGTTATTCGGATTTTTGTAAGTGTTTATTTCATATGTAAGGAACAAACACTAAAATTTCACTTGCACATTGTTTTTATATAAATGGGGGTTCTACATACGACTATTGTCGCATGCCACATTTAGCATCTCATCTTTAATTCTCAATCATCAGTTCGTTCTGCTCGCCCACTCTTCTTAGAAATGGAAATTTCGACCTTTGTGAGCAGCCTATTTGCATTCTTCCAACTTCTTTTTTCACTTTTCTAAGATTACTAAAAGGGTTGGTAAAAGACAACAACCTTGCTCCAGTATTTTGTTGGGTTTAGCTCTTCTGAAACATTTTTCCGGCCTTAAATTGAATGATTTATCTATATAGCTATTACTAATGCTTACGTAAGTGCTCTTTATTTGCTTTTACCAAGTACTTCCAAACGCTTATTAACAAGACTGTTACTATACGCCTTCTCCATGTCCATGAAGAGTTACAAAAAAAATGAAAATGCTTAAAATTTGGTGCAAAGTAACAACGTGGATGATCTAACTAAAATTATATTTATTTTGTTGTACGTTAGGTAGTTCTTCATATACTATCTTGGTAAATTTAGAACGAAAGATGCGTAAAAATATCACCCCCCGACAAGCTACAATTCACTCCATTTCCATTATTTCGCTATGAAAATCTGTATCATCATTGTCATTTTCAAATTCAAATTCTGAATCAGATTCACCTAGCGAAATAATGAAAGGAGGTATAGATTCGTACGAAAGATTTCCCATAGTTTTTCCCAATTTGGCAAAATAAGTTTTTCAAAATGTTTACAAAAATTTTGCCACATATTTGGAGTACATTCAGAAAGCGCCCCAAGCCATAAATTTTACACCCTATTTTTAATGAACGTTGAGAATTTATATGCTTGTTGTAACAGTTCTTACAAAATCCCCACGCCATTTCAATTGGATCATATTGACAATGATACAGAGGCAATCTAAGAACTTCATGGCCACTTTCTCTTAATGTTTCGTCTACCAAATATCTTTTTTTTTCTATTGTTTCTGAAGGGTTTAATTAAGTCCCACAACTGTTTCTTCGAAATTTTTTTATCAAATTCAACACTATGTTTAAAGAGCCATTTCTGCGTTTCATATTTTTTACTATAAAAAGTGGGTGGTTTATCCAACTGGACCGAATGATACAGTGCATTGTCTAAAACCACCACACATTTTTGGTTCAACTTTGCCAAAGCAGGAATGAGCTGATTAACCACCCAATTTTGAAAAATTGTCTCGTCCATCGTTTTAGATTAGTCTCTATCGTTATTTTTTGAATTAAAAAAATTGTTACAACCATCCAAGAACCCCGTTGAACAACCTGCGCGGAGAACAGTAAACCTTGATCCTTCACTTTTAATTTTGATGGGATTGCTTTTTAGATCAGTATCGTGCACCCAACAACGAATGAATGGACCATTTTGATAGATCCATGTTTCATCCAAATACACGAAAGTCAAATTTTCACAAGAAATTAGAAACTGTAAATATGTTCTCAAAAAAGTAATTTTGGCTGCAACGACATGTTTTTGTTCACATAGAATTTTGCGACCATTTACTTCTCTATGTTTATAACCCATTGACTTAAGAATTTTGTATAATGTGGTTCGCCCCCCTTTAAATTCCAACTGTTCCCTAGAATATGCCAAAAGAGTATCTATAGTGAAATATTCGTTTTTTTTTCCATTAAGTTGCCAAATGTGTCGTTGCAGGTCTTGCCGAAACATATAATTTGTAAATAAATCCGGTGGTTTCGCTTGCCAGATAGTGATGTTTTTAAATTTTGATCCCTGTTGATAAAATTTTCGCCACAGTTGATGTTCCCACCTATGAGAAAAAAAATTAAAAAATATTTTACGTCAGTTTTTGCTTATTCTGTATATTATGCATTTTCACCATTTCCTCGTCAATGAACCGATGAGCACTTATAATATTGCTTAGTTATTTCCTTAAAGTGTGCTGCTTTTGTCGATTCATCGTCCGGGTTCATTGGCTTGCAATATCTTTACACTACACGACTTTATTTTATTAAGTACGGTGTTTATCCTGTAAGATCATTCAGTCATCCAGTATTATTATCGGCTTTTGGCTTGTGCTCATTAAAAGCAAGAAGAACTTTCGCAAATGTGTTATTTTCATTTAAATTAATTAATGGCGTTATTAGTTGTAGTAGTCTTGTTAATCAGATCAAATTTCATGTGCCTAGATTAAATTCCCGGTGTCCATTAACTTTTGCTCTTAGCATTTGTCAAACAAATCAGCACATGAATGCCCCACTAAATAATATGTGTCGGTGTTATAATGGCATACCGGAGGTCGATATATTTACGTACGATATTAAAAAATTTTGTTCACAATGTAAAAGTGTCCTTGGTTGTTAGTTTGTAGTTTTATTTGTTACTATTTTGCTAAGTCTTCTTTATATTTATGTATGTCTTCTATATTGATATTTTGTATTTATATAACTCTTACATTAATCCTGTTAGACACTAATGTCTGTTGGATATTAATAATATATTTATTTATTTATTTATTTATTATTTATTTAACTTTAAACTTCTTATGTTTCTACGAGAAATTACCAAGTATGTTTTTAATTTCTTGTAAAGAAATATTAGGTATTTTGCAGTTAGTCCTTATTTCTCTACAGGAAATAGAAAACATGTATGAGTATCGTATTGTCGAAAGAATACAATGTATATTAAGAAAAAACAACCCAAAAATTAAGCCCCACCCATATCCATCCCAAGCTCAATTGTGATGAATTTTTCATTCGTTGTCAAACCAAGGGGAGTAGCCTAATTGCAAAATCGATACTTTCCCACAAAAATTTACCATTTTAAACATGTCTTACCTTTCTTATTTTAAAAAAAATACTACAAATATTAAGAAAAAAAAGGGCAAAGTGTAAACCCTTGTAGTTATAATACTTAATCTGTTTTTGGGATGAATAGTAATAAATCTTAGCACTGTACTGGTACTAGTAATAGAATTATTAATTTTACCTAATTTTGTAATAAAAACATTGTTTCCTCTAAAACTTTATTTGATTTTTTAAAAAGAGTACCACTTAACGAGGCCCGAAAATATATTTCGCTGGGGGCCCTGAAATATGCCAGGCCGACGGTGCTTCGGAATTCCATGAATAACCTATCTATTCTTTTTTCTCCTACAAATTTTGCCAATACAGAATATAATTTTCCGAAGCATTATTCGTCATATTTTTCAAAAGATTACTACTATTGTGGACCAGTCTGTTGAAGTGAATCAATACATCATTGTATAAACCACATTGTTTCAACTCCGGAATAAAACTTTTCTCATTAGCTTTGGAACCATTGGAGAAGTACATATGTATCACATTTTTCATGATTTCCGAAAACATGATGAATACTGTTCAGAATTTCTTTTTTTTAAATGCATTCTTCTGTTCTGGTGTATTTTTTTACCGTTTCTTCTATATTTAATAGCGCAACAGATGGCCAATTCAGCCTTTCGATGTTAGTTCCATATATTTTGATCTATTTTTTCAATGTTTCTTTCGTTTTATACTTTTTCGTTTAATCAGTTATTCAAATGTTCGATCATCGATTTTCCAACTCTTAAGTGATTCAATTTTGCAATTTTTGGATTTCTCAATTATCCGATTTTCCGATTTCTTTAACTGTCAATATTTTGATTCTATATTTCGTTTTTTCGGATTTGCACCTTTTCGATCCTTAAGTTTCTCAATTTTTAATCTTTCGATTTTTCAATGTGTCATTTCGTCTATTTTTCAAGTTCTTTGTTTCCAGTTTTTATATTTTTCAAAGTTTTGGTTTTTGATTTTAAAATTTTGCAGTTGTTCCATTTTTCATTCGAAAAGTTGAATATTCTAGTAGGATATTGCCTGGCGTAGAGACGAATAGCAACATCGAAATTTTTGTAACACTTTTCCAATATTAACAGCATAGCAAGTCTGTTTTTTCAGAATTCGAGTAAACACAGAATTGCTGAAGGACTGTCTTCAATTTTTATGACAAAAACAGTTATATATTTTCACGACTTTAAATAAAAAGTTATAAATATCGATCGTGAAACTATAACCTCACTGCACCTATTTAATTTTTATCACCTTCTACATTTTTGAAAGCGACTTCCAAACCACTTAGTTCGTAATCTACAAAGTGTACATATTATCATGATGGGTTTTGACATGCACTAGTTTGGTTCGAAACTTGTCAAGCTTAGTCGACATTTAATTACAGCGAAACAGTCCATATTAAAATAGCACTTTTCCACTATTGCGTAAAAGCTAACTACACCACATTTTTTAAATGAGGTATCAGTATCTATCCATTAGTGTTTGAACGTGGACAGAAACACACATAACTAAAGCTATGTTTCTAATTTTTGTACCTCTAATAGTACTGTGTTCCACTGCAACTACTGGCTTTAGTTTTCATAGAGAAAATAATGCTTGTCCGCGCCTGATTGACTACCCTGTGAAAGCTTTCAGCTCCCGCTGTTACGTAAATCCAAACGTACTATCTTCAACTGTGAGGAACGAACCAAATGACAATTCCAAAATGTGATAATGATAACATTACGTTTCAGCCTGACATGATTAAACAGAACGGTTACAAATGCGGGACATACAAAGTGGTTTCAGAAGATGGTTACACATCCTTGATTTTTCGGGTACTACCACGGGAAGATGATGGTGGAGGAAAAGGACAACCCATCATCTTGGAACATGGGATAGAGATTAACTCAGCAGCTTGGACTTGGATGGGAAATAGATCTTTAGGTTCGCGTAATTATAAAAGTTCTACATTCCATAAATTTCTTTGTGTTACAGCATTCGTTTTGGCCAAAGCTGGTTATGACGTGTGGTTGGTGAACCAAAGAGATAGTGGTTACACAACACACAACAAATACAAAACTTCAGATTCCCGCTTTTGGGCTAACAGGCAAGCACTAAGCGCTATTCTTAAACCAGTTTTCTAAATAAGTCATTTCAGTTTAGATGATTATGCGTCTAAAGGGGAACCAGCAATTTTAAAGACGGTGGCTGCAGAAACCAACAAATCGGGTTCGATTATTTTTATTGGTCATTCCAGAGCGACCATTACGTCTTTTATGTATATGTCTGAGAATCCACAGGAGGCAGAGAAATTTATACGGGGCGTGGTAGCACTGTCTCCTGCTGCGTATCTTGACTTTAGTTTCCACTTTAGAATTGTTGCCCGTCTGTCTCCTTTAATCTTGAATATTATTCCAGTGGTAAATTATCCAGTCAAATACTCCGTCAAATTTTATCAAATCCTTTGCACCTTTCTTCCATATGTTTGTAAGCTGTATCTTATCGCGGTTTCTGGTAGCGCTTATCAGTTTCTACCGGTAACTCTACCAACCTTGTAACACGGAAACTACAATTTTGATTTCAGGACGACCTTTTGGCATTTTTTTCTATTTACCCGGGTTCTCTTTCATCAATGCAATTTTTACATGTCGTTCAGTTACTTCATTCCAAAAGAGTTCAAAAATATGACTACGGAAAAAAACGGAACATGCTAAAATATGGACAAGAAAAGCCGCCTTTGTATAATCTTGGTAATTTTACGCTTCCAATATATATGTTTTATGGAAAACACGATGTTTTCATCAAAGAACATGTAATGAATAATACTTGGCGATTTCGTCCTTACAAAATTTTCTTGTAGACCGTAAAAAGGATCTTCGAGGAGCTCGGAAGCAGCGAAAAAGAATACCATAGTGTGCCAATTGGAGTTGACGATAAGAGGTTGCAGTTTGGTCATGACGATTTCATTTGGTCTAGGTATATAGAAGAGTTGTTTTACAAGGACCTATTCAAAGTGCTGAATAAATTGAAACCTAAAGGATAATCCGCGATGTTGGTGAATCTGCAGTTATTATATCTTAATTTTCAAGAGTGTTAAATATATGCATTTAATGTTTGATTTCAAACAACATATTTATTACTAGCTGACCTCGTGAACTTCGTTTCACCTACAATTTAATTTTGAATCTGCAAAACCGAATGCTGTGAAATCTTGCAGATGTTTTAAACATATGATATGCATAATAAATTTTTAATCAAAATATATTTACTTATCCCCTCCAAAAAATTTATGACGCCATCTCAAGATTTTGCCGGATAAATCCTATCTAAAATGTGCAAAATATCATCATTATATTTTCGTAATTTACATTGCATTCATATTTTTTAGATTTGCTTTTAGAGTGACTCAAAAAAAAATGTATGGATCAGTCAATTTATTTTATTGAATAACTCAAGAGTTGCAGAAATGAATACTTTGACATCTTGTAGACGTTTTAAAGTTATTGTAAGCATGGTAAATTGTTAAGAATATTTATTTATTCCCCCCAAAAAATTGATGGAATGGCTCACTCGATTTTCGCAGATAATTTTGGGAATACCTACAATACAGTTATTTTACTTATTTTTAGTATTACGCTGCACCAATCCAAGGTGGTATATGTGTTAATTGTAAATGTTGATTAGGTCATCATAAAATTGTGTGAAGAAAAGACTCAACTCTAAAATGCTGAATATGTTTCATTATACTTTTGGTGCGAAGGGAGTTCTGTCGAAACAACGTTCGATCAATTTTTTGACAATGGTTGATATAAATAAAACTCAGTAGATGCTCATACTCGAAGTACGAAGTATCTACTCGAATATCAAATCAAAATATTTCTAGTTTTTCTAGATGATGCTAATACTTTAGTAGATAACAGTTGATGCTCAAGTAGCATCTCGATACAACAAAAAAGGAAAACAGTGACAGTGTTCAACCATCAAGGCAAAAATCGAGTCACCAAAATATAAATTAGTATGGGGTAGACACCTTGAGATGGGAATCTCTGTGGCCAGTGTTAGAAAAAACGCACTGCACAATTTATGCATAAATAACAGTTAATTATCTGAAAAGTTTTAGATATTCCCACTCCTAATGTGTTTTTCAAACTGAATGCACCTTTTGACGACATTCCACGTTCACGAAAGTCGCCATGTTTAGTTAAAATTCACTCTTACAACGACAAATCGCGTAGATGTTCAGTTTGTGTCCGGGGAGATACAATGTTTCCAAGCAGATACATAGCAGTACATAGAATAGATCAGGAGTCGGAAACCTTTTTAGGAGAGTGGGCCACTTAAAAAAAAAAAAATTTACGCGGACCGCACAGCAAAAAAAAATCTTTATACAGAAACAATTTTATTAGGATTAATATGTTATAATAAGACAATAAAAATAAAATCTAATATTATAATCACATAAGTAAAAAACCTGATTTTGTTGAGAAGTAACATTACAATTCAATGCGACTTTTGCTGCTGTATCATTTTTGCCAATTCATTCAAGTCGGCATCAGTTTGCGATACAGAAATCCTGAGAATGTTTTGTAAATTGTCATCAGTCAATCTTGTCCTGTATTTTGTTTTAATAATATTCATCCGCGAAAATATTTGTTCGCACAAATAAGTACTTCCAAAAATGCAAATCATTGATTTTGCAAAATTCTTAACATTTGGAAATTTATTTTCGGGTAGGCTTGAATAAAACAGTATTAAATTATTTTCATCAAAATTATTTTTATATATACTATTTGCCTGTAAATCTATTAGTTCTAGTTGTAAATTTTCCGGTGCAAATTTAAAAGGATTTTCAAATATTTTGATGTCACGTTCTTGCTCAAAAAAATCTTTAAATCGCAAACAGAAATTTTCTTCCAGTAATCTCAAAGAATTAAGATAAACATCATTAGAAATACACTGTCTGTCATTTCTTGTTAACACTGATTGTAAAGTAGGAAAATGACAATAATTATTCCTCTCAATTTGTGAAATAAACAATTTTAGTTTTAACCGAAAACTCTTAATTTCTGTAAATAACTCATTAATTAATTTTCCTTTTCCTTGTAGAATTATATTTAATTTATTGAGGTAAGTTGTAATGTCAACAAGAAAAGCTAACTCGCTTACCCACTGAAAATTTGATATTTCTGGTATACTCTTTTCTTTGTCTGTCAAAAATATTTCAATTTCAAGTCTCAAATCAAAAAATCTTTTTAAAACTTTTCCACGACTAAGCCACCTTACTTCAGAAAAGTACATAATATCTTCATATTCTGCATCGATGTCATTTAAGAATTCTCGAAAACTTCGATGATTCATACCGTTTTTGCGAATGTAATTAACGGTTGATATTACAGTCTCCATAACATTTTTCAAACTGACAACTTTGGCACAAAGTGCATGTTGATGAATAATGCAATGCAGTTGTAAAGGGGTTGGTGTAATATTTAATTCCGTGATTTTTCTATTAATCAACCCCATTACACCTGTATTATGACCTGTCATGTTCTTGGGCAGCTAGTTCCTCCGTTATCTAAAATTGTTTATCAATTCCACGGATAAAAATCAACAGTTGAGCGGTACTAGTAATATCGTTGCTTTCATCAAGTGCAAGTGAAAAATATTCAAATTTTGTAGACATTTCTTTTAATTTACAAAACATATTTGTCGATATATCTTCAATTCGGCGAACTACTGTGCGCGCAGACAAACTAATATCTGCAAATGTGTTAATCTTATCCGGACAAATTTCATTCACCGCAGTTAAAATGCACTTTTTAATAAACTCTCCATCAGTAAATGCTTTGCCGTGTTCAGCAATTAATTTTGAAATTTGTAAACTCGTTTTGACTAACGCTGAATTTTGTTCAACACACTTTTTAAAAATGTTTTGTTGGGCATGTAATGACTTTTTCAAAGAATCTATTTTATTTTGCCTAAACTGCGATTCTAATTGATCGTACTCATCTGTATGCTTCGTGTCGTAATGACGGCGTAAATTAAATTCTTTAAACACATTTACAGTTTCTTTGCAAATTAAGCATAATGCTTTATTAAAGTTGTTAATGAAAAAGCAATCAAAAGTCCATTTTTCATTAAATACGCGGTTTTCTTCGTTTAACTTACTTCTTTTTGGAGTTTTATTCATTTTAACTAAAACAAAAAAATAATAATAATAACAAAAGAAAAAAAAACTTATGTGTTGCTAATTAGAAGTTTTGCAATAAAAAGCAATGAATATTTTTCAAAAAAAAAAAATATAGGTACCTACCTACTAAATTAAAAATAAAAGAATAATAAAAGGTTTTGTCGAAACCAACAAAGTGAATACAGGTAAATAGAATGGCAGGTCAAAATTAATAAGAAACTTTCGCAATGTGCAACTAAATTCACTTTAACCAAGACTTTTCTTAAAATAAACGACGTTTTTTTACGAAAAAACAAAGAAGAATTTGAAATGCAATATACTTTTCACAATCGCACGGAAGAAGTAGTTTTGTATGACACGTCAGTTAGACGACAGGCCCGTCAGGAACGCCAACTATTGAAATTAATTCGAAGTGGCGATTCCCATACAAAATTTTTAGAATTTTTTTATTTTTTAGCTGTTCGCTTTTTTATAAATTTTCTTATATAAAAACCTTGTCCTGACAATAAGGAACACATAAAAAAAATCATCCAATTTGGTGCAGTCGTTCTGAAGTCATGCTCGTACATACATTTCGGCGATTCATTTTTATTTATATAGATGCATTATTATTTTAAAACAAATTTCATTACCATAAAAAAGGTTATACTGAGTCGACCTTAAAAGATAGACATATGCTGCCGGGGACTTTTCTTTAGAACTTCTAGAGGGGAACAATTTCGTCATACATGATTTTTACGTAACTTTAACCGTTTAAGCAGCGTAAGCAACGGAAGCTGTCAAAGGAGGAATAATTTTCCCGTTTTTCCGAATTTTTCATTGCTACTTCGCTCCTAATGATCGTAGCGTGATGTTATATAGGCTATATGTAAATACGATAAATGGACTATCAAACACAAAAAGATTTTTTGAATTCGAACCAGTAGTTCAACCAAACAAACTCTTCAGCTTTATAATATAAGTATAGAAGTATAGATTTCCTTGTCTAAAAAAACTGGTCTACAGTGATTTAGGTAGAATAGACACATAAGTCTATGCACGTATATTTTTTTTTATAATCACTGACTAGACAGTAATGACTAATAATTTTGTTAGTGTGATTCCAAGCTGCAAACATGTTGTTAGTTACCACACTTACCGTACTTTCGCTGTGTCAACTTTACCTTCCACTAACAGGCTCTACAGACACAAACACGAAAAAGAATGCCTGCACCCGTTTTGGGGATTATCCTCTTAAAGAACACAGCCCTGACTGTTACGAAAATCCCAACGTGCTCTCGTCTACCGTTAAAATGATTCGTCAAAGTGGTTACGACGTGCAGGAACACGACGTAGTTACAGGGGACGGTTACAAATCACGAATTTTTCGTATACCAGTACGAGATAACGATAACAGGAAGAACAAACAACCTGTGGTGTTACAACACGGTGTCCTTGTGAACTCTGCAGTTTGGACGTGGGCAGGAAACCGATCTCTAGGTATAAAATGAAGGTGAAAAATTAACCGTCATTTTTTAGTTTTTTATTGTGATTGAAGCTTTTGTGTTAGCCAATGCCGGCTATGACGTGTGGTTAGCAAACCAGAGGGACAGCGGCTACACCACACACAAAACGTACAAAACCTCTGACTATAACTTTTGGAGTAACAGGTAATCAAAACTGAAGAGCGGATTTTAGGTTAAAAAAGCCAAAGTAAGCGATAAAAATACATACTTTCTGAAAATAAATATCACAACAAGATTGCTAAACATGTTTTCAGTTTCTTGTTGGGAAAGGAAGCCTTCGTACATTAAAGAAAAATGGACAAAATATAAACCCCGCCCACATCACAATTGAGATAGGGCGAATGAGTGGTGCTACATTTTGTCTTTTTTTTAGCATGTGTAGAATTATTTCGACAACAAGAAACTTAAAACAACAGTTGAACATCAAAGTTACAGCAATTAAATAAAAGTTTGTACATAAAGTACCAACTAATAAATTGACTATACAGACTGCCGCATCCAAGTTTGGACATACGGAATTAACATGGCAAATTGGTTTTTATTTTATTATATCTCCCCAGATCATTTCAAAGCTACTATTGAGTGATGCCTTTGTGGGGGTCGAAGAGGGCTATCGGCCAGTATTTTTTTCAAATCGTTGAATCGCACTCATTCACTGTAAAAAGGTTTTTAAATCGTATTTTGAAATTCGCGCCCGATCCGATTTGTCGCGATAATAAAGCAAGGATAAGAGCCGTTGATGGAAATGATGAAGCAACTAATGGAAGAAATGAAACAACTGAGAGAAGAAAATCGAGGGGTAAAAAAAGAATTACAGACAATAAATGGAATACTGGAAAGAAAAAGAGAAGAATGGAAAGAAAAGGAGAGAAGCTTCGAAGAAAGAATCAATAATTTAGAGAAGAAGTTGGAAAAAAAGAGAGGCAACAAAGAAGAAACAATTTCATAATTACGGGTATGGAATAAGGGAAAAAACAGATGCAAAAGAAGTAGAGGAATTTTTGACAAAAGAAATTGAGGTAGAAGTAAAAGTGTTGGAAACAATAATTATAGGGAAAGAGGAAAGCAAGAAAATACTGGTTAAGACACTTTGGGAGGAAAAACAAGAGGTAATGAAGAACAAAAATAAACTGAGAGGAAAGAGAATATATATTGATAATGATTGGACAGTACAAGAACAAAAAATTAAAAAAAAAATTAGGGAGGTAGCTAAAGAGGAAAGAAAAAAAGGATATACAACAAGGGTGGGGTATAAGAAGCTGGAAGTAGGGGACAAGATGTATACATGGAATGACAATACAGGAAAATTGGAAGAAAAATTTTGCAAATCAAGTCAGCACTAACCGAAGAAAGAAACACAAAGGGGAGGGGTAGTAATGATAGGACAATTAAAGACTTTAGGTTTAAGAATGTAGATTTTGTACATAATAGGAGAATGGGAAAGAAGAGTGGGGAAGATAAACGTGGTTTAAAATTACTCTTTTGGAATATTGCGGGTCTGAAAAAGAAAGATAATTTATTTTGGGACTACGTGAAAAATTTTTATTTTCTGGGACTAACAGAAACATGGATACTAGAGAGAGACTGGAACAAACTGAAAGACGTGTTGCCAAAGGAATTTTAGTGGAAATTGCAAGGGGAAAAAAAGAAAAACGCAAGGGTAGAGCAAAAGGTGGAATCATAACATGGGGCGATAGAAATGGAAGGCATGGTTGAACGAAAACTGATGGTAAATAAAAAAAAGATGGAGAATCTGCACAATATATAGTAGAGGAATGAGAAACACGAAACAAGAAATACAAGAAAAAATCGAAGAGTCCGAAGAAGAATTTATACTGTTAGGAGGGCACTTTAATGCCAGAATAGGGAACAAAAGCAGGGAAGAAGACGGGGAAAACACAGGAAAATCGAAAGATAAAGTAGAAAGCAAAGACGAAAAATTGCTATGGGAATTAATTAAAGAAAGAGATTGGGAAGTCTTGAATGGGGTGAAGGAAGGGGACGAGGAGGGGGAATTTACCTGGATAGGTAAAAAGGGGAATCGATAATAGACTACGTAATAGTAAACGGATTAGCAGAAGAAGAGATAGAAACATTCAAGATAGGAGAAAGAGTGGACTCCGATCACATGCCACTAGAAGTAAAAGTGAGGCGCATAAGTAGAGGGAGCGAATGCTTAAGTAATGAAGCAGGAAAAGAGAAGAAGACATGGGTATGGAATGAAAAAAGAATTGAGCATTATTAAAAAAAAATGTTGGAAGTGGAATTTAAAGAAAAAGGAACTGAAAAGAAAACGGAAGAATTAAAAAGAAAAATTCAAAAAGCAGCCATAAGAAAAGAAATTGTAACGAGAAATTTAGAAAAGAGAAACAGATGGTGGGATAGCAGATGCAGAGATTTAAAAACAGAAGCAAGGAAATGTTTACGAAGGTGGAAAAAGGGGAAAGGTATAAAAGAAGAGTACTGGCAAGCAAAAAATAATTATAGAAAACGATGCAAAGAAAAGAAAGAAGAGATGCAGCAAGAAGAAGAAGAAAAATTAAAGCCATAAGAACTGAGCAAGAGGCATGGCAGTATATAAATAAAGAACTGAAGAACAGAAGCACGATTAGTGAAGACATATCTATAATACAGTGGAAGAAACATTTTATGGAACTGTTGAATGGAAAGAAAGAGAGAATTGTAGTGCAAGATAGTAAAACCGGGATCGGTGGTAGAGAAAGGGAGGCGGAGATTCGAGTAGAGAAAGTAGGAAAACAAGTAGGAAGACTGAAAAGGGGAAAAGCACCGGGGAGGGATGGGTTGGTAAAGGAAGTGTGGATACTTGGGACAGATGGGATGATTGAAAGATTGAGCGAGTTAATGAATGATGTGTGGACGGGTAAAGGTTTTCCCAGGGAATGGAGAGTAGGGCAAATATGCCCAATTCATAAAAAGGGTAATAAAGAAAAAGTAGAGAATTATCGGGGAATAACTCTCCTAAATACGGCATTTAAACTGTACGCAATGGTGTTAAATGAAAGGTTGGTGACAGAGATGAACGAAAACAGTATATTACCGGAAAGTCAAGCGGGATTTAGAAAAGGTAGAGGGGCTATGGACAATGTATATATCCTGCGCGTTTAATACGGTGGACAGAGAGTGTTTGTGGGAATACATGGAGAAAAGAGGACTGAGTGAAAAGTTAATTACAGCAGCAAGAGAGATTTATAGAGAGACAGTGACTAGTGTGAGAGTGGGAGGAATAGAAAGTGAAATGTTTTGGACGACGAAAGGATTGAGACAGGGATGCCCATTAAGTCCCAGTATGTTTGCTTGTTACATAAGCGATATCGAGGAAATGTTTAGAGGAGTACAAGCGGGAGGAATTGTGGTGGGGAGAGAAAAGCTATGGTGTTTGGCATTTGCAGATGATTTGGTAATAGTGGCGAAGGATGAATGTGGAATGAATGAGATGAAAAAAAATCTGCAAAGATATTTTAAAAGAAAGAAACTGGAGGTAAATGTAGAAAAAACAAAAATGATGGTGTTTAGAAAAAAACAAGAAAGAAAAGGGGAGGAAAAAGTCTGGCGTTGGGAAGATCGAATCATAGACACAATAAAGGAGTTTAAATATTTAGGATTTAAGTTTACAACAACTAACACGGTAAAAGCACACATAAGAGAAAGAAGGGGCAAAGCAATGCAGATAATGGTAATGGTGTGGAGTATAGGTGAGAGAATATTTGGACATGACGTAAGAAGAAGGATGAAAATGTTTGATAGTTTAGTTAGGAGTGTATTAATGTATGGAGTGGAGATATGGGGGCGGAAGGAATATGCAGAGATGGAAGCAGTACAAGAAAAATATTTGAGGTGGATGTTAGGGCTACGGAAAGAGACGCCAGGCTATATAGTAACAAAAGAATGTAAACGAGAGAAATTAAGAGTATACACTGGGAAAAGAGCGGCAAAGTATGATGAAAGGTTGAAAGAAAGAGAGGAATGTAGGATATTGTATGAATGCTGGAAGGAATAAAAAAGGAAGCAGGGAAAGAACACCACAAGGGTAGACAAGGATATTACGAAAGACTGGGATATGCAAGGATGGAAATAGAGAGAAAGAGAGAAATGGGGGTGAGTATGAGAGAAGAGTTGTGTATGCGTGACATAGACATAGATAAACAAGAGACAAGAGCGAGTGTAAGTAAATCTAGGTACAATGCAGACTATGGAAAGATAATAACAGAAACAATACCAAAGTACCTAGACAGAGAAAGCGCGAAAGAAAAAAAAATAATTGCGAGATTTAGGTGTGGAAATGAAGAAAGAAATAATAAGTTTTGGGTAAGCGAAGGTGAGAGAATGTGTAGGATGTGTGGAGAACGGCGAGAGACGATAAAGCACATGCTGCATGACTGTGAGGAGAGCAAAGAAAGAGAGGAGAGTGTGACAAAGATATTGAATGAAGACGGAAGAGGGGTGGAATGGATGAAAGAAGTGGAGAGGACAAGAGTAAGGCTGGAGCAAGGGGGGATGGGGTAAAGGAAAAAAAATGAGTTATTTGGTTTTTGTTAATTAGGAAAAAACTTGTAGTGTTGTAAATCAAGAATCTTTTAAGCCTGTAAGGTAAAAAATAAACACTTACTACTATTAAATTGCTTACAACTTTGTCTTCATATAAATCATATATTTCTTCATTGGTTCGTCTTTCTCATCCTCCTCCTGTTTGTTTCCCTCCAAAGATTCTTCTTCCTTTCCCAATTTCCAGTCTTTGTTTCATTTTATTTGTCATAATCCATGTCTCGCACGCGTATGTTAGGGTTGGCCTCACTATGGTTTTATATATTCTTAGTTTTGTTTGCCTTGATATTTCGTAACTTTTCATAATTTTTCTTAAGCCTCCTGCACAGTTGTTACTTTTAGAAATTCTCAATTCTATTTCTTTTTATCCTTGGCATTTGTTAGTTATCAACACTCCTAAGTACATAAACATTTCTACTTCTACAAATTCTACTTTTATTCCTTCTTGTCTGTCTATTTGTTGGTTGTTTTTGTCTCTACTCCCACAGTTATTCTTTAATTCCATATATTTCGTTTTTCTATATTAAATTCTAAGCCTACCTCTTCTGCTTGTCTCATTAGCTTTGCTGTTATCCTTTCTAATTC